GAGGAGGAAGAGGAGGAGGAGGAGGAGGAGGAGCAGGCGGAGCAGGAGGAGCAGGAGGAGCAGTGAGAGGAGGCGGATGAGCGCTCTACGCGTCTCTAGCAACCTGGGATCTGCAGGGAGGCCGTGCAGCTTTTCCAGGACGATCAGGACAGAGCTGGCGAGGCCGCCTGCCCGCCCGAGGGTACCAGTCTCGCGCCCGCCACTCCGCCCCTCCCATTCCTCCTCCTCCTCCTCCTCCTCCTCCTCCTCCCCTCCTCTTCTCCTCCTCTTTTTCATCTTCCCCTGGCCTTTCCCTCCCTTTCCCCTCCTCCTACCCCTCCTCTTCCCCGTCCCCTTCTCCTTCCCCTTCCCCTTCTCCCCTTGCCCTCCCCTTGTCTCGGTGGGCGCCCGCACTTTGGGCTGGCTCCTCTTGGGGCTTCCCTGGCGGCGGCAGAGTGCCCACCGTGCGCGAGCCCATGTCCTCTTGCTCCGTGCACAGGCCTTCAGGCGTTCACCACAGGTTGTGTTCGGTTTGCTGAACTGTTTTTCTTGCCAGCTTGTTACTGGCGATTTGCTCTATTCTGGCTCTGGGGACCGTTGTCGGGTTCGGGCCGTGCTGACATGCGGTCCGCTTCGAAAAGTACGGCCCTGGGATGGGATCGAGCGCTCCGGGCGGGGGCCAAGGTCGTGAAACTATCAGGACGTGGGAAGTCAGGGTCTGGTCGAGGCGAACTCCTCCGCGGTCCTGCAAGCAAGCGGGCACAGCCTTGCAGCGACACGCCGTCATCTTGAAGGGCACAGCGTGTCGCCGGGATCGGCGCCACGACACGCTAAGCAGAAGGTCCTGACCGTAGAACTCCCTCCCCCACCCACCTGACAGTCGAACCCGATGATAGGGATGGGTCATCTTCCCAAGGGGGTCCCCTTGCATCCGTGCCCATGTGGTCCATCCTTGACCACTTTCGATGGCCCGCCGCGCTCGAAGAAGCTTACACATGGGCGTCCCAGGGGCTTGCCTCCTTATCGCATCCTTACCCCGCCCCTGGCGGTACCGCGCGCTCTCTCTTTCTCTCTCTCTCTTTCTCTCTCTTTCTTTCTCTACTGTCAGTTTCCGACTGTACGACGGGATCCGCCCCGAGGACCAGCTTGAAGCCCTCCGGGGGAAGGTTCCGCGCGGACTTCCCCTCATAGGGGAGCCCTGCCGCCCCCTCTCGGGTGATACGTACGTGCCGTGGTCCGGCTCTTGGGCAGAGGGGCAGCCTTGCCCGCCGGCGGGCGGCCCCAAAGAGCACGATGAGCCCCGACTGGTCGCCTCGGTCGCCTCAAACCATGGCGACCGACACGGTCGCCACGTTCACCTCGAGCCTCGGGTCGCCTCAAACCATGCCGACCAGTCGCCTCGGTCGCCTCGGTCGCCTCTTGGTCACGAAAGAGTCGGAGGATTCGTTGGACACGTGACGCTGGCGGGCTGACCGCTCTCGCGCTTCCGCGCGGTCCAGGTGGGCGTTGCGCTCTGCTCGTCTCGCCGCTCCCCCCTGTCCCTGGCGCCCTGCGTTCGAGCCAGTCTACTTGCCGCGGAGCGATGGGGACAGTTGTGGGCCGCGTGCCTGCTCCGCCATGAAGAAGAGGGGGTCCTCAGGGAGAGGAATCCCGAGGTTCTTTGCCGTTTTCGGCCTCCTGGGGCTCTTCCCGGGCCCCAGGTTTTTTCAGAAGACTGCTCCAGATGGAGAGCTTGCCCCAGGGCAAGACCCTGGGGTCGGGGACACGTATTCTTCAGGACCCGTTTCTTTTGTGCCATGATGGCGTACCCCAGTTTGGCTCGAGCTCTGTGCCGAGGACCCCCTTCAACTCTGGTCCTGCTTGCGAAGATGAAGAGTGCCGCAGCCGCAATGAAGCCACCCAGCCCGTGCAAGAACTGCCCTGGCTATGGCATGCCACATACCTGTCCAAACTGTCCTGGTCCTCACGTGCCCCATCACTGCGCTTTCCAGTGCCCGAACAGTCCTGAGTATCTCAGGCGGCTGCTGGGCATCTCGACTGTGGGTGGTCCTCGAGCTGGCGCCGAGGGGAAGGCGAAGGGCGGCGGCAAGAGCACTCCCCAGCCGCTCCCCGAGAGGGTTGTGCCGGTGCCAGCACCTCACCGTGGCCGCATCCTCGGCGAGGGGGGCAGTAATTTCAAGTTCATCTGCGCGGAGGCAGGCGTGCGGCTGTCGCTGGAGTCGTGCGGGGGGCCTTCCTCGAGCGTTTCCGCGGGAGGGCCAGAGCAGCTGCAGGTGCGCATCCGCGGCGGCCCCGGCGCCGAGCTCGACCGGGCCGTGACGCTCGTGCGTGACCTGCTGGACAGCGTCGCGGAGGAAGCGCAGGCTCGCTCGGATGCGCGTGCGCGGCGCAGCGGGGAGGCCAGCAGCCTGAGCAGCACAACGGCAAGTAGCGGTCCGCCTTCCGCGGCCGCGCAGCGGCCGCGAGGCGACAGGGGCGGCAAGGGAACCGGCAAGCGCAGCGCAGGCAAGGGCTGCAGTCAGCAGGGCCGCGAGGAGCTGCGGGATCTGGCGGCCGCCAAGCTGGCCGAGGCTGAAGAGCTGCGGCAGGCCATGGAGACGCTGCAGCTGCAGGTGGACCTGCTCCAGGAGGAGGGCGCCTCGTGCGACGAGGTACGGGACCTGCAGGAGATGGCGGGCCAGCTTTCGCAGCGCGTGCTGGCGCTGGAGAAAGAGGCACTAAGCCTCGGGGAGCTGAGCCTCCACAGGGCCGCTGGGGCGAGCTCTGGCGAAGGCCGCGTGGGTGGCTTCTGCGCCCTGTTCCCCCTTGGCGCATGCCCGTTCGAGGATGGTAAGTGCCCGCGCGGAACTCATGGCATGCCGCCCCTACCCGCGGAGGACGCCGTGCTGGTGCCGACAACGCAGGCGAAGCGGGGCCTTCTGCAACAGAAGTGGCAGGACGCGGGGGGCCATGGGCAGCTCGTGAGCGCGTGGCAGGTGCGCAACCCACGGCTGGACCTTCTGCTGCGCGCCACGGAGAATGACTTCGCTGCGACCCTTGGCGTGGGCTCCGACATCATCGATGGCTGGCATGGTACGCCTGAGCAGAACGTTATGTCCGTCGCCGTGAACGGCTTCGACCCCACGAGGCGCTGCGGACAGGCGTACGGAGCGGGCGAGTACTTCGCGAAGGATCCGAACGTCTCCGTGCAGTATGCCCGTGGCGGCGCCTTCATGTTCCTCTGCAAGATGGTGCTGGGGCAGGCCGACCTGGATCACACCTGGGTTCCGGGCCCCGACTACTACGTGCTTGCGCAGCGCGAGAACAGAGTCCAGGCCGTGCCCTTGTTCCTGGTGCAGTTCCAGGAGGCCCCGAGCAGCAAGCTCGCGGACAGCCTCGGCGCCCTGCGAGCGCAGGAGGACGAGGAGCCCCTGGCCCTCGCGGCACGCCAGCCTGGAGCGCTGCACCCCGAAGCGGGCCGCCGCGACGCGGGGATGGCCGCCGACGCCACCAGGCACCTGTGGGTCGGCTGGCTCTCGCCGACGCTGCGCACCCAGGATGACGACGCGGTGTCTGCCGACGTGCGGGAGTTCCTGGACGGCCACGACCTGCAGCGCGTGATCCCGGAGCGCAACGGCGCACGCGTGGGTGCCTTCGTCTTGCTGCGCTCTCCCATCGACAGGGCTGCCTTCCGGCAGCTGCAGCGGCGACGGTACCGGGGCCGCTACCATATCTCCGTGGACGACAATCAGCCCCAAAACCCGCGCTGCTGCGGAAAGGTCTGTCCACGTTTGAGGGGGCCTAGCCGGTTCTGCCGCGGCTGGAACATCCGTGGCCATGCCTCGTGGCAGTGGGGGTGCTCGTTCGAGCACCCAGAGAACCTGCGCCCAACGCATGGCGCGGATTTCCGCTTGGAGCAGCTGGCGCGGGGAGGCGCGAAGTTCGATGAGATCGAGACTGAGCTCCTCCGCTCGGGGCACTTCGAGTCGCCACACGGTAGTGGTGCTCCTCACATCGTGGCCGTGTACCGCGTGGACAACCCCTTGTTGGCATGTGCCTACGAGGAGAGGCGCGGTTTCTTGCACGACAAGCAGGGGTTTGCGATGGAAAAGGAGCTTTGGCATGGCACCAACTGCAAGTCTATCCCCGAGCTGCTGCTACACGGGCTGCAGCCACCATCTGACACTCACGCTGGCGACGCTTGTCCAGTCTCGGGTGGCAAGGGGTTATGCACCACGCTGTGCGGCACAAAGTGCCCGTATTGCACAGAACCTCATGCGTGGCACAAGTGCCACATGTACGGTTTGGGCGTGTATTTAGCAGATGAGGCGGCCAAAAGCCATCGTTATGTGCGGCAGCCCTTCGACGACGAAAGCAAGGACCGCAAGGTGTACTCGCTGATCCGCTGCAGGGTAGTGCTTGGTAACCCGTACCTGATAGAAGGGAACTTATTGCAGCCTGACGCCATGCACGACATGGTGTGGTGCCAGAACCCTTCCGAGGCGCTGGAGACCGTGACCGAGAGTTGGAGTGTCGCGAAGGGCCACGACCCTTTTTACGTGCGCGGCCAGGCTGGGATGCAGAAGGCTGGCCTAGGCGTGCACAACAGCGAATATGTCATCTTCCATCCTTACCAGATGTTGCCCTTGTTCCGAGTGGACTACGTCCTCAAGTGACCTTGTAGTATAGCCACATTCTTTTTTGTTTTCCAAGCGTGTCCAATGAGATGGTTGGAGATGTACAGTGTACAGTGATGCTGGACCCGCCGACTGGACACTGCAAGTCGGTAGCCGCAGACGAGGTGTACACAACACCCCGTCTGCATCAACACAAGGACGCATGTGGAATCCATTGAGGTGCGATGTGAGCAGCCCCAGAGCTTTGGCGTCAGCCGTCTCTGTTTCGTTATGCAGCGGCAAGGCAGGGAACATCGATACCACGATGGTCAACAGGCGAATGACGAGGACCACTTCACTTGGCCTGATCGGGCCTATAATGGGCCTAGCCAGGATCGGTGAGGTGGTCGATTGCTGTCCCCCAGATAGTAAGGGGCCCTGTCACTCTGGAAAGGGCTCCGCCCGCTCCTCTGGGTTCTCCCAGGGGCGCCTAGTCAGGACACTTCGGCCCGAGTTGGGGATAAAGGGTGCTGCGTTTTTTCATTCCCGGCGCCCCATGGCAAGACACTGAGTGTGCAGTCAACCCACATAATAAGAATGGGCATCCTTCCCAAGGGTACCCTTACATCCTTGCCTCCTCGGTCCATCCTTGGCCACTTTCGTTGGCCGCGCTCCGCTCGAAAAGCTTCGAAATGGGCGTCTAAGGCCCTTGCATCCTTATCGCGCACCCTTATGATACGGGGCGACTGTAGGATGTGGGGGGCTATGACATCCGACGTCGTGGGTCAATCCCAGCGTCTTCAACGGATCACGAGCTCCTACCGTCCTCTCCCTCCCGTTACCCTTATCCTCTCTCCGATCTTGGGCCACCTCTTTCTCTCCACCCCTCCTTCCTCTTTTACCCTGTCCTCTCTCCCTTCCTTCCTCCGTGTACCTGTCCCTTCGCTATCCTGCTCTCGCCTTTCACTTCTTTATCCTGCTCCCGTGCCCCTCCCCCTCCTCCTCCCCCTCGTGGGACGAGGTTCAAAAGGAGGAGGAGGCGGAGGAGGAGGAGGAGGAGGACGAGGACGAGGACCAGGACGAGGACGAGGACGAGGAGGAGGAGGAGGAGGAGGAGGAGGGTGAAGAAGTCGACTCCCGCTCCGCGCCATGGATAGGCCAGCACCCTCCTGGCTCTGGCGCAGCTGCAGGTGGCGTGCAAGCAGAACACCGAGGCGCTCGCTAGCGTGAAAGGCGCCCGGAGGATCTTCCAGGCGGGCTTGCGCTCGCCCTCGCAGTCTGGAGCTCTTTTGGCGGCGCGCACGGTGGAGTGGCGCGATTGGGGGCGGCCTTCTGCGACGACGGGGGGAGGGCTTCTGAGAAGGCCGGGGGCTTCACATCAGCCTGCGCGGCTTCCTGGAAGCCGTCTTGGAAGCCTCCGGGCCCTCTGGGAGTCCCCCCCGCGCTGTTGGAAGGCCTTCCCTCTTCCTCTCGCGCTCGCCCCCCTCCCCCCCCCCGTGCGTGCCGACAGTTGCTCGCGCCGCTGGGCCGCGCGCGCGCGGAAATCCAGAAGCTCCTGCGGCCCAGAAGAGGACCATTGTGCTGGAAACGTGCCGCCAGTCGATGAGAGCGGCTTTGCACCAAGAGTAGGAGGAGGAGGAGGAGGAGGACAAGGACGAGGTTGAGGAGGATGGGGAGGATGATGAGGAGGAGAATGAGCATGAGGATGATCATGCTGATGATGATGCTGATGATGATGCTGATGATGGTGATGGCGATGGCGCTGATGATGCTGCTGAGGATGATACTGATGGTGATGATGCTGATGATGCTGATGCTGAGGATGATGCTGATGGTGATGATGTTGATGACCATACTGATGGTGATGAGGATTCTGATGGTGATGCTGATGGTGGTGGTGGTGATGATGGTGGTGGTGGTGATGATGGTGGTGGTGATGGTGATGACGACGATGATAATGATGGTGGTGGTGATGATGTTTCTGATGAGGATGGTAATGATGCTGATGATGCTGCTGCTGATGATGCTGATGGTGATGATGGTGATGATGATGATGATGCTGATGCTGATGATGATGATGCTGATGATGATGATGATGATGATGATGATGATGATGATGATGATGATGGTGGTGGTGGTGGTGGTGGTGGTGGTGGTGGTGGTGGTGATGATGATGATGATGATGATGATGATGAGGAGGAGGAGGAGGAGGAGAAGGAGGAGGAGGAGGAAGTTTCTTGAGGTTGCGGGTAGTTTTCGGCCCTCCTGGGGTTCTCTCCATGAGTTGCGCCTCGTCGAGAGCCTTCCAGGGAGGCTAGGATTGTCCTGAACGGCCGCCTGAGGCTCGAGTTGTGCCCAGAAAGCCAAGTGGAGGGAGGAGGAACGCGAATCGCCGGCGGAGATGGCATTTTGACTCTTTCTGTTGCGATTTGTTCTGTACTGTTGCCTGTCGAAGGCCTCTTCGCCGCCACGGATGGAGTCGCTCCGAAATCCCTGTTATGACGTGCTCCAGGCGAGGTTCTTGTTTGAGATGGGGGAGGGGGATGAGACGGAAAGGACCGTCCCCCGACCTCCTCCTCGTTCTGTGGGCCTTCGGGGGCCTCCGTCGTGGCCCCTGCTCCATGCGTCTCGGGAAACGTGTCGGGATGGTGCCCGGGAGGAATGTCCGGGAGTCGTTTTGAGCGGGGTTTGGCCCCCAAACCTCCATTGCTTCCTCCACGGGGCCACTCTCGGGGCCCGCTCCTACTTATCGCAGTTATTGCACTCATCAGACGCCATTGGACGTCGTGGGTGATACGCAAGTCCCTTAGCAGGGCACGACTCAGGTCGCAGTTGCTACAACTCGGGCATGATTGCTTCAAGGAGGGCGCCAGTACTGCCCGAATCCTTTTATCTTTGTCATGCCTTCCTCCGTGTGTCTGCCTGTCTTGATGCCTGCCTCTCCCCTTGCTCCGTGTGCGGGTACTGGTCGATGGTGTGCCAGAAGACCCTGGCGCCAGAACGGTTGCACCCACTGTCCAAGCAGCTAGCGATGCTCGCATTCAGCCCAAGCTCTGGTTCGGGAATGGCCAGTCCGGCTTTACTGCCCACGCAGTCAGTGGGCGTTCAAAGGACGACTTTTACTGGTTTCGGAAGGGGCTTGGGGCTTCCTCGGTCCTTTCTCAGGTTTTCTTTGCAGGCGCAACTGGGGCGACAAAAAGGGGCGCTTCTCCTGAACGCCCAGGGCAGCTCGGTCGGAGCGGGTGGCGCGGAGCGGTACTTGGTTCGAATCGCCACATGGAGGCTCTAACCAACATGCCAGCCACGATGTGCGCATGAAGCATGCATTCGGTGGTCAAATCTTGCCCGCTGAGTCGGCCGAGTGAAAGCCACGTTCACAGGACAATGTTCTCAACTTAGCTGTGTGCGGTGGCATTCGATAGCAAAGAACACATGGCGGGCGGGGTCCACTTCCAGAGTGTCGGCTCGCATGCAGGCGATACTGCTTAATACATATATATACATTTTTATATATATATATATATATATATATATATATGTGGTGCATGCTCCTATAAGCATGCCCAGCGAAGCGATAGTTCCGCCGTGTTCCAGTTTGGAGACTAACATGCCAAGATCATGAGAAAGAGAGACAGAGAGGTACATATAATGATAATGAGAGACGATTCTAATACTGAGTGCGCGAGCGCGAGTGCGAGAGGCAGAGTGCCTGGCAGCCTGAGTATACGAATGGCTCGTCCCAGAGTCTTCTCAGAGCATTCCAGAGCGCTGTGGAGTGCCCGCGGCACCGAACACACCTGCTGGATCCGCTGGCCTTCAGGGATCAATGACCCAGACCTCCAATTTAGTATACTTTTCAAGCCATGTGCCCCAAGAGCTGTCGACCCTATCCACAGGACCAATTTATCTTCTTGGTGATTTATGATCGTCCTGGGGCCCAAGAACGCCACCCTCCCCCCACTCCCCAGATGCCCAAACGCAGAAAAACGCCACTGTTATTTTTATTCGTGACGCCTTGAGGTCTGGGGAGTCATAGGTGCCAGATCTGTTCGTGTCCTGCCCTCACCTGGACAAGAGGACCTCTCCAGGCGCTGGGCGACAATGACGAATTTGACGAGGATGAGTAGGGGAACATCAGGAGGATAATGAGGAGGAAGAGAAGGAGGAGCAAGTGGAGGAGGAGGAGGACGAAGAGGAGGAGGAGGGCTGCGTCGGCACGACACTTCAGCCAACAGGCAACAGGAGGAGTGGGACGACGAGGAGGAGAAGGAGAAGGAAGGGGAGGAGGTGGAGGAGGAGGAGGAGGATGAGGAGAAGGAGGAGGAGGACGACAACGACGACAACGACTTCGAGCAGACCTAGGAAGAAGATGAGCCGCTCCAGACCGTGCCCGACCGCTCCCGGAGCGTTCCGGGACGCTTTGGAGGAGCCGCTTCGCCAGACAGATCCTCTAATCCCGCCGCTCCCCTGAGATTTCGACTTGCCCCTGCCCCATTTTCGCTGCTTCCTGCCGTCAGCCGACGAGGACGGCGGCCACGACGAGGACGAGACGGAGGGCAACGACGACGATGAGGACGGTGACGCTGACGACGACGACGAGGACAGCGACGACAGCGATGACGGCGAGGACGACGATGATGACGTCTGACAATGGCGACGACTCCGAACAGGCGCTCGGTGACAAGAGCGGGGAGGCCAGATCGATGCAGACCGCTGGCAGCATATACCTCAGCAACGGAGGGAGGGGAGGGCCCTGGAGGGACGAGGAGGAGGAGGAGGAGGCGGAGGAGGAGGAGGAGGAGGAGGAGGAGGAGGAGGAGGAGGAGGAGACACTTCGAAAAGACTTCCCGAGGCGACTGGGAGGAGTCGGAGGAGTGGAAGGAGGCGGAGGAGCCCAACCCAAGATGCATCAACGATGCTCCAGTCACCCTCCCGTCCCGAGCCCCCTCCTCGTAAAAGCCCCCCGCACAGGTGTGCCTTTCCCACCACGGGAGCCGTCCCCCTTGACGGGCGTGCGCCCCGCGGGTTCGCCAGCCAGGCGAGATCCCCCCCGTCTTGGAGAGGATATGTTTTCTGTCCGTCCATGCATCTAGAAGTTGGCCAAGATCTTGGCATCGTTCGGACTTGTGCATTCTTGGGGTGCGAGGGCCATCGAGGAGCATCCCAGATCATCTTGCCAGAAAAGCACGCACGGAGTCGAACAATGCATTGGGAGTGGACGTCCGAGGAATGCCAAGAGATGGGGTTATCCAGTTCAAGGACGTGTCCAGCGAGAGTTTGGTTGTGGAAGGAATGCGCCCTCTATCAGTGCAAGCGCTGCACGATGCTAAAGTCAAGGTCACAGAATTGGAGGAAGTCTGAACCGACATCCCAATGCTAACAAAAGGAGCCGCCCACCACCCGCGTACCTGTTACACGATGTGGAGTGTCTTGAACAGGAGCCGCCCTCTATGTGTGCCACTATTCGTTGTTTAAGACGAGTGCTCGACGCAGAGGCGAGAGCTCCAACACGCGAGCCCCACTTTGAAGACTGTTGTGCCCCCCCCTTGTGCATGGTGTTTTCAAGACGAGTGTTTGTGTGTGGCGCCAAGGCGAGAGCCCCATCATGAACACGCCTCCGCTCCATATGTGTAACTGTTGGAGGTCTCAAGCTTCGAGATCACATATCGCGGAGAAGTCTCAGGCGCAACGCCCGGCCCACCCCAGCAACACGTCTTGTGGTGCGAAGATGATGGCGTCCTTACTCATTTTTGGGCCTCCACTGCTGGGGTGCCTGCGTCGTCACGGCTTGATTCCCTTCGAGATCTTGGTCAGAACGCGCTCCGGGAGAGACCCACGGGCCAGTTTCGAGAGGGGGAGGAGGGGGGAGCACGGAGGAGGACGAGGAGGAGGAGGACCATCTTCATCCTCATGCTCCCTCTAGACTTGTCCTTGTGGTTGACTTCCCTGCCATGCCACCTGCCATATCCTCCCAGAGTCGTTGGGCTCCTCGGATAATCTCTGACATCTTTGGAGGACACCTGCCACCCCCTGCCCTGGGAGGGCGCAGGGTTGGTGTCATCCCGCGGTTGCCGTCGATCCTGGTGCCTGCGACCAATGGAGAGGTGTACCGTTGAGGGGGCAGCGAGAGCTGTCGGAGACCGTTGGTTGGGGGGCGGGGCCAGTGGCAGAAGCGAATCGGCCATCGAGCGGCGGAGGCTGGGAACAACGAATGCGCTTGTGTGCTTCTCTTTGTGTGTGTGTCACACAGCCAGTCCGCAGACTGTCCTATGCACTGCACCTGCTTGCTTGGGCTTCTTCTGCTCTCTTCCGCCTCGACTGGCTCAAACCTGCGCCTCGCATATTACCGGGGGATGGATCGAGAGGTCCAGGGCTCCCAGGCTGGAAATGCCGGTTTGTTGTCGTTGGCGGTCTGGGTCTGCCACCCACACCGCACGGCTACTCCTGGTGGCGTCGACGTCCACGCGTTAGCAACCGCCCACTGTTTGCCACAGTGCTCGGTGAAAAGGCCGCTTGTGTCACCCACCGACAGCTAGAGCCACCTGTGGGCCTCCTCGGTGTGGGCCAGAACGGCCACAGAATGGAACTGGCGGAGTGGAGCCGCGAATGAGGGTGGAGGGATGGGAAAATGGAGAGGGGAGGGGGAGGGTAGGAGAAGAAGACAGACGTGGCAAAGACACAGGAGACGACGAACGGAGGCAGTATACCTCGGGTGAGTGGAGATATGCTTTGGAGCGAGATAGAGGGGGAGGCAGTATCGACGAAGCCTTGAAGCTCATCGGCGAGGGCAGGGCGATCTGCCACAGGATGGCGATTTGGTGCGATTGTCGTGCTTCTGCACCTTTCTCTCTCCTTACTGTCGTCCATCTTCTTTTCGCTTCTCCCTGCCAACGGCGATCTTAGTTTTCAAGGGCCAAGAACGAATTTAACGATGCGATAGCACTCACTCAGTGTGCAGGTCAAGCAGCCGAGTACGCACGCGTTGATTCTTCATACTTTCAGCAGTCATTTTCTTCAAAGGCTCAAGGGCTGGACGACTATCAAAGACGCCTCTGGCGAATCACCGCAACCCCCTGCTGCTGCTCTGGCAACTCACACGTGGCCAAACATTGGGCGAAGGTCCGACCAAGCTATTGGTCTATGTGTTCTTCCAGCCGTTGTAGAAACCGTTGGGGAACACTTGTGAGAGGAAGGCGGGACGATGATGATGACGATGATGATGATGATGATGAAGATGAAGATGAAGATGATGATGATGATGATGATGATGATGATGATGATGATGATGATGATGATGATGATGCTGATGCTGATGCTGCTGATGATGATGATGATCATGATCATGATGATGCTGATGATGATGATGATGAGGATGATCATGATGATGATGATGATGATGATGATGGTGATGATGATGGTGATGATGATGATGATGATGATGCTGCTGCTGCTGATGATGATGATGATGATCATGATCATGATCATGATGATGGATGATGATGATGATGATGATGATGATGATGATGATGATGATGATGATGAGATGAGGAGGAGAGGAGGAGGAGGAGGAGGAGGCGGAGGAGGAGGAGGAGGAGGAGGAAGGAGGAGGAGGGGAGGGAGGAGGAGGAGGAGGAGGAGGAGGAGGAGGAGGAGGAGGAGGAGGAGGAGGAGGAGGAGGAGGAGGAGGAGGAGGAGGAGGAGCAGGAGGAGGAGGAGGAGGAGGAGGAGGAGGAGGAGGAGGAGGCAGGGAGGTAGGACAACGAGGACGAAGAGGAGCAGGAAAAGGAGGCCTCCTCTGGGTCGTCGTTGAGGGCATCCAGGACCATCTAGGATGCTACAGAGGACTGATAAGCCCGAAAAGATGAGACTGCCAACATATTTCACGCATCTCAGGGCGAATCAATGAATTTGATCCTCTTCGGAGCCTTCCGGCGGCTTGCTTGGACCGCTCTCGTGGCTGCCTGGGAGCCTCCTGGGCCGTCATTGGCACCCTTTGGGGCCATCCTGAGCCTTCTTGGGGCCATCTGGATCGTCTTAGAGGCGTCTGGACGGTCACCTTGGGCTTTCCCGGCCATGGTAGAGCCCGTCTGGAAGCCATAGTGTGCGGGAGCGCCGATGGCAGATATCTTTTCATGCGGCCTTCCGCGAGGATGGTGGGTTGGGTCGGAAGCCATCGAGAACCTGGCACGAAAAGCACCTCTGAGGCAAGCCCAGTGGGGCGGCGGATCGAAGACGCCCTCGGCGAATGACTGCCGCCCCCTGCCTTCTGGAAGCGCTTGTGTGGTGAACTATTGAGCGAAGGTGCGGCCATGCTAGTGGACTGCGTGTTACCCAGCACTTGGGGAAACTACAGGTTTCTGAAGGCCAATTCTTCAAGGACGCAGAACTCTGGGAGTACCAGTGGTTCGGGTCTCCTGGAAGTCCTCTGGGAGACCCTCTTGGGGCGCCTTGGGGGCCTCTTGGGCAGGTCCGCCCGTCCGACCAGCTCGTCTTAGCCCGTCGGGGTTTATCCAGGGACTGGCACGAGAAGGGGAGCTTCCCACAGGGGGGGGGCGCGTTCAGAAACGAAGAGGGCGGGAGTCGAGGGCATGGCACGCAGCAGTGAAGAGCGAGTAGTCTCAAGCGGACTCTTGCAGTAGCAGTGCTGGTCCAATGTGTTGTCGTTTTGGTTGTTGCAATTTTCGGCCTCCAGGAGCCCTTCACATGCCTCGGGGCCGTACACAAAGCGATCCAGGCGTTAGGGAAAGCGTCCACACCTCCAGGGGCGACGAAAATCGTGACCTCGGGGGTCCAGGAGGGGAAGTTGCCAGGAAGCCATGGGGCAAAAGGAGGACGATGTGGAATTGACAAATCTGGCTGCAAGCGACGGCGACAAGCAGGGAGAGATGGATGCCCTGCAGGATCGCCGAGCTCTGTTGGCGAAAGCTGCTGCTTTGGGGGACGCTGTTATCGCATCCCAGCCCGCATTCGTCGCATTTGGTGGTCGCGCGCTCTGTGCGACCCGTTGCTCGACCATCTAACTCTGTGTGGTCGATTGCGATGCTCCTCCTGAATGGCGCGCTTCACTTCCATCTTCCCCGGCTCCACTCGCACACCTCACACGAGTTGGTGCGAACGGCTCTCTTCAGGTCGCTCTTGCATTGCCCTTTCTTGTTTTCTTTCTCTCCCTCCCTCTCTCTCTCTCTTTCTGTCTTGGCCCCTTCCTCGCTCTTCCCCTCCCTCCCTCCTGTACTCGGCGATCGCCAGACGTCGCGTGTAGTTGCCGTCCCATCTGGTGATGTGCTACGACCTTCAGCACCGGCCTTCACCCCTCTCGATCGGGGTTGCGGATGCGCTTCGCAGTCTCTTTTCACTTGGTCACTTGGCTTGTGATGCGAGCAGCACGCGCGCGAGCTGAGAGGTACAGTATCGAAACATGTGGATGTCGCGACGGAGACACGAGCGTGATCCACTGCAAGATCTCGGTCAGAGGCTGGCACCCGTGGAACTGCCGACTGGAGATACATGCCAATTTCGGCTCATGCTATGGTTGGGCACTCCTGAAGGGCTGTGCTCGCTGCCACAGGGCCCTCGGGCCTGTGAGTCTTCTTGGGGCTGTCTACCTAGGAGCTTCCTGGGGACGTCGATTAGTGTGTCGGGACAACAGTGAGCCGTCTCGGGGTATACTCGAATAATGAAAAACGCCATAAACATAAACTTTTGGCGCTCCGCGCGGATGTTATTGGATCCGCGCTGGACCCCCCGGCGGTGTCTCCGGCGCCGCCTTTGGCGCGCTCCTCGCGCCAGGGAGGGTCGTCCAGCGCAAATCCAAGAAATCCGCGCGGAGCGCCGAAAGTTTATGTTTATGGCGTGGTTTTCCTTCTTCGAGTGCACGGCAGTTGGGGGGCAGCTTTGCGGAGCCGACTTGCGGATTCGACCCCGTGCGCCCTGGGGCCACCAAGAGTTAAGTCGGGCACGTCCTTCTACAGGAGGAATATGCAAAAGTCGTTAAACATAGTATGGGGACGTTTGCTATTTTACATGTTCGTCCAAAATCCAGCTGTAGGAGGACATGCCCGACCGAAGGGCAGCTCGTCGGAGCTGACTTGAGGATTCGACCCCGTGTGCCACGGGGGCCACCAAGAGGCTGCTGACGTGTCGCTGCCCCCGCGCTGGCAGCAGTCCCCCGACGGGGGGGCCTGCCTGCTTGCCCCCCCTCTCCTCCTCCTCCTCCCCCTCTTCCTCCTTCTCCTCCTCCTCCTCCTCTCTCCTCCTCCTCCTCCTCCTCCTACTCCTCCTCCTCCTCCCCGCTCCTCCTCTCCTCCTCCTCCTCCTCCTCACCCCCTCCTCCCCTCCTCCTCCTCCTCCTCCCCTCCTCCCTCTCTCCTCTCCTCCCCTCCTCTCCTCCTCCTCCTCCTCCGCCTCCTCCTCCCTCCGCCCTCCCCTCCTCCGCCTCCTCCTCCCCTACTCCTCCGCCCCCTCCTCTCCTCCTCCCCTCCTCCGTGCCTCCCTCTCTCCTCTCCTCCTCCTCCTCCTTCCTCCTCTCCTCCTCCTCTACTCCTCCTCCTCCGCTCCTCCTCCTCCTCCTTCTCCTTCTATTCCTCCTCCTCCGCTCCTCCTCCTCTCTCCGTCTCCTCTCCTCCCCTCCTCCTCCCTCTCGTCCTCCTCCTTCTTCCTCCTCCTCCTCATCCTCCTCATCATCCACTCATCACATCATCACTCCTCACTCATCATATCATTACAGCATCACATCATCATCATCATCATCACAGCATCATCATCATTCCTCAGCATTCATCATCATCATCATCATGCGCTTCTCTATTCTCCTTGCCGCTCGCGCCCGTTCAGGTCCTGCAGCTTCTCGGCCCCAAGCTTGCTCTTCTCGCCCCCCGCCCCCCCCGCCGCGCGCGCGCGCGGCCAGGGCGCCAGGGGGCTTGCGGTTGCCACCGCCGCGCAGGTTCCTCTTCACCTACGCGGCGGTGTTCTACTTGCTGGGCTACGAGCTGCTTTGGGCCACTGCCGCAGGCAGGGGTCCCAACGCTTCCTCCGTGATCTGGCTGGTTCGGGGTCGCTCTTTCACCCCGCCAGTCAGAGCTCGGGTGGGGGTGGGCCGGCTGCCTCCTGTGGGCACCCGGCAGCGGCGAGTGTGCACACTCTCCGCTCGGGCGCCGCTGCCCCCCTGGCAGTGCGCGCCCGTGTCATCTGGGCGTGGCCCCAGCCAGGCCGTCCAGGCAGGCGTCTGACCTGCTCGCGGGTTCCTCCCGCGCCTGCCGCAGCTGCTGCTCGTGTGACGCTGGCTTCTGAGCCCCGTCCCGCAGGCTCGGCATCCGATGGCGCCTGCCTCCCTTTCGCCGCTACAAAACTCCCCTCCTTCCTCTTGCCTCTTCCCCTTGGACCCCGGAGCGGACGCCCATCTGAGGAGAGGAGTAGGAGGTGGAGTTCCCTCGCATCACGAGGAGGCCGCGCCATCGGCCCGGAAGAAGAGTGCTCGCGCTACGCCCGTTGCCGGCGCCACTCAAGGGTCGAGCCCGCCCGCCGCCGAACGGTCTATTGCTCGCGCCACGAGTGTCGCCGCCGCCTGTCGGAACGCCGCCCGCCTGGCAACAGGCGGAGAGGCCACCGGCGCGAAGATAACGGCGTCCAGGACGGAGGAGTCGGAGTCGGTGGACCCTCTCTTTCTCCACTCCCCCTCTACTCCTCCCCCTCCAGTCGCCGCTTCGCCGTGGCTCAGCTGCCGTTCGCGGCATCGTTTCCCTCGCGTGGGCAACGACAGGCGCGCGCGCGCCCAGGGCCCTTCGGGCGGATCGGGACCCAGCGGAATTGAGGGGGTTGGCATGCGCCCTTCCAGCGATGCTGCTACGGCCCCGCAGGGGAGGGGTCGTGCCGCCCACTCAACCGTCGGCCTGGCTCACCAGTCTGGCCGCCCGCCGCGAGCAAGTTTTCTGGCCGCCTCGCCCGCTCCCGCAGGTTTTCGGCCCCCTCCAGGGTCGGAGCCGTCGGTTGTCGAAACCAGGCGGGGCGGGAGCTCTGTTCGTTTGGCAATCACCCACGAGCTGTCGCGCGCGGTGCCTCCCCCGCCTACTGTAGCGGCGGACGCTGTGGATTCTGGCGGTTTGGAGGGGGTGGGTATGCGCTCCTCCAGCGATGCTGTTGCGGCCCCGCAGGGAGGGGTTCGTACCGCTCCCCCAGCCGCCACCGCAGTTAACCAGCTTAGCACCCCGCCGCGAGACGGTCCCAAGGCAGCTTTGCCCTCGCTTTCGGGACTCCAGCTCCCTTCAGGGTTGGAGCCGCCGTCACAGACGCGTGCCGAGCGCACAGGGCCACCGCGGAGCAGTCCCAGAGCCGCCTCGCCGACTCGCGCCAGCTTCCGGCCCCCCCCTGGGTTGGAGTCGCCGTTGCAGCCGCGTGCTTGGCGGATGGGCCCACCGCCTGGCTTTGATGCACGAACACCAGCACTGCCGGCGGCAGCACCAACGCCTGCGCTTACGCCGGCACCAGCGCCAGCGCCTCCTCCTGCGCCGAGGCCGGCACCGATGCCTGCACGAGCGCCAGCACGGACAGCGGCAGCACCGACGCGTGCGCTTACACCAGCACCAGCGCCAGCGCCGCACCGACGTCAGCATCAACGCCAGCACCTGGCGGCGTCAGCACCGACGCTTGCGCTTACGCCGGCACCAGCGCCAGCGCCTACGCCAGCGCCGAGGCCAGCGCCGACGCCAGCCCTGACGCCAGCACAGACGGCGGCAGCACCGACGCCTGCGCTTCCGCCGGCACTAGCGCCAGCGATTACGCCAGGGGGCGCTTCGACAGTGTTGCCCTTCCACCCGCCACCTGGGTTTGAGGCGCTGTCGGGCCCTGCGGTCTGGCAGGTGGGGCCATCTCCCTGCCTCGCTAGCCTGGAGGCGGGCGCTCGGGTGCCGCCGCCGCACAACCGTTGCGCGACCGACGCCGCGGTTGGGTTTCCTTTTCCTGACAGCGGAAGTGGGCAGTCGGCGATCCCCTGCCTAGGGGCCTCACCCCTGCCTCCAAGGGAGCCGCTTGCGGTCAGTGCCTCCCGTGCGAGCGCCCACGCCATCTTGCACTCGCTCGGGCTACTCGGGAATCCAACCTCGGCGTCGACGGACCCCGCGTCCCTGCCAGTGTCGGCCCCCTTGTTGTCAGGCGCTACGCGACATGTTTCTGCTGCTGCTGCAGATGGTTTCGGGGTAGCTGGTACCTGCCTGCCGGGCGCCGCTGCTTCGGCGCCACAGAGCACGGGTCGCACCGATCCCTCAGCCCCCGCCGCAGCTCGCGATTTGGGCACGCCGCCGCAAAGCTGTCCTATGGCCACTTCGCCGTGTCTTCCAGGCTTCCTGCCCCCACCAGGGCTGGAGCCGCCGTCACGGCCGTGTGCCTCGCGTCGCTCTGGGGGCGCCCTCCGCGAGGCTAGAGGCGCTCCAGCCCTTCGCCGACGTGGCGGTTCGTCTGGGTTTCAGCCATTCGGGATCGCGGCCACGTTGGCCAGGGCACCTGCGCCACCTCATCGCGTCCAGCTGCGCGCTGGGACCCCAGCTTCGGCGCTCGTCTCAGCGTGGGGGAAGGCTCGGTCGAACGCCCCTGCGCAGGCGCTCCCGCCTGCCCCTCCCGCGCGCGTCCCCCCGCCACTTGGGCGGGCCGACCCCGCTGCGGTCGCCGGCTCCGCCGAGGGGGTCGCAGGGGGCGCACTGGGGCTGCCTGCCGAGGCGCCCCAGAGGGCTCTCGATCTGGCTTTCATCTGCCAGCGGGAGGCGCTGCAGCGGTGCATGTTCATCGTCCAGCTGGTGGGGGGCCGCGGCTACCTCGGAACCGCATGGTTCCTCACGGGGATCAAGCCCCCCCCGTGTCGCGTGACCTGGTGCGGGTGGCGGCAGGCCCTTGCCGCGCCCGTTCCGCCGGCTCC